TTCTGTGTCTGTGTTAATTGGTTTCCCTTTTCTTTGTTGAAGAGGGTCTGTGCAATCCTTCTGCCTAGTCCGCCATCTTGCCCCGCCTCCTGAAAGGGATATTATAATAGGTCCTAGATAGAGTAGGAGAAGAATATAGAACAAAACTCAAAATAAAAAAATAAAAAAAGATGAGGCTTACTGGTCTGATAGAAACAAGTGAACAAGTGGAACTACTGAGACTATATGGCCATTAAACACCCTTCATGCCTGGAACTGAACTCACCCATTGCTTAACTTTCAGCCAAACTATCCAAACCAAAACCAAACTCACTACTGTTGAGTCGGATCAGACTCATAGCGACCCCTCCTTGGGTTTCCAAGGCAGTATCACCACGGAAGTAGATTGCCCAACCTGCCTTCCGAGGACTGGCTGGTGGGTTTGAACTGCCAGTCTTCTGGTTAGCAGTCAAATGCCTTAAGGACTATGCCACCAGAGCTCCCTCAGCCAAACTATAGACAAGCTTATAAGGTGAACAGTAATAACAGGGAAACACGTAATCATTAGAACAATCAACCATACAAGATCAGAAGGGTGACATTGGCCCAGAGATAAAGCTTAGAAGGCAGGAATGGATATGAAAGAAGGACAAGGAAAATGCTAAGCACAAGAAGGAAGTGGGAAGATTGCTGTTATATTGTGGGGATTACCATGAATGTCACAATATAAAGTGTGTATGAATCATTGAATTGGAAACCAATATGCTCTGTAAACTTTCACCAAAATCACAATTTAAAAAAAATCCATTTTAATTATATACATATAACTTAATGTGAATGATAATTTAACTAAATCCTGTGCCATAATTATTTGGGAAGATTGGAGACAAAAAGAGTGAATGTGTGTGTGTGTGTGTGTGTGTGTGTGAACAATTAAATCCTTATCTTCTATTGTACAAAGCCAATAAATCATATCTAAGATTGGAAAATCAAAAAATAGAATATAGTCAGTATTTAGAAAAACAGGGTAAATGCCAAACAAAAAATAAGAGTTTAAAGTAGTTGCTGCTGGGGTAGGGGTGAGGACAATGCAGTTGCTCATTTTGACTATAAGTTTTGCAGTATTATTTGCCATTTTTATAAACATGTTTTACTTATATTATAGAATAATTTTTAAAGGTAAGAGGTAATTATAATATATTTTACTTGATGGATATAAAAAACATTTAAAAAAAATAAAGATAAATGTTAATAAAGGTGACTATAAAGACAACAAAAATAAATACTGACAGTAATTTATTCTGGGTGTTAATATGTTAATATTTGAAAGTGAGATTTCTTATTTTTTGCATGTATTTTTTTTTTATTTTAAGCAATAAATTTATATTACTGATAAAATCAAAAGATTTACAAACACACACACACACACACACATACATGTGTGTTTGAAATACAGTGTCCAGTCTAGAAGAGAAAGTCATGCTACTTAAGTAAGTAGAGCTCTGTTCTGGAGTATATGTTGTTAAATGTGGGTTACAAAGTCAAAGAGCATCAAGATTGGAACTAAAGTGCCACAAGGATGGCGCTATTTATAGGCAACATTTGAATGGTGAACAGTTGAGAGACCAAGGAATATTTGGACTGGACATACATGATTTGGCTATAAGCTCCTGAGGGCAGGAATCAAGTGTAGTTGTAATTTTCATTATTTCCATAGACACTAATCTGCACATAATGTGATGCTTTATAGATACATTTTACACAATAGGAGAGTGAATGAATGACAACCTTGGCTATAATGAGAGAGAGTATAATAAGGCAGTGTTCAGAAATGAAGAACTGGAATCAATTGATAGAATTTTACAGGCAAAACCACTTTTACTTTCAAAAATTAGACTTTCTCAATGTTGATAAGCTGCCTTTGTTGTTGTTGTTGTTATGTGCCGTCGAGTCGGCCCCGACTCATAGCGACCCCTCCTTGGGTTTCCGAGGCAGTATCACTACGGAAGTAGGATTGCCCAACCTTCCTTCCGAGGAGTGGCTGGTGGGTTTGAACCGCCAGCCTTCTGGTTAGCAGTCAAGTGCTTTAGCCACTATGCTACCAGAGCTGTGAATTGTTCATTGTTAAAACTCTTTAAGGAGAAGCTGGATTTCAGTACTGGATGGGCAGTTGATGTTCTATATATTGATCTAATGTCCCATATACTAATAAACTTCCTTGCAATTTTAGATCCAGTTGTGGTCAGCCTGTTGAGAATTAGTTAGTCCTAGGTGACTTGGCATGTCGCAGGCAATAAGAAGACTAGGTCAAGGCAAGGGTGAAGTCTGAGTGCACCCCTCTCCTGCCCTCCCACAAACACATACAGCATAGACACAAGTTGTAGTGGCCCTTGATAAAGTTCCCAGAAGGAATACTTCCTTTTTGCATTTAATTAAGGGCTAAGGATACCCTTTCTCATATTTATGGTGAGAGGAAGCTTACCAAGACTCTAGATTGGCTTGGAGTCCGTAGACATAATGGGACTAACTCCAGTTCCCAATCTCATGGATATCTTGGGGTTGTCCACAGGCAATCATTATGCCACCTCTTGGGTATTCCTAGGAAATCTATAGGACTTTAGTGTCACTGTTTCCACTGCCTGACTCCACATACTCTAGAAAGTGAACTGACAATCTGACAGCCTTCTTCATAGCATTGACTTTGAGCTAGCTTTTGTAACTTTTATGTTCCATATACACACACTTCCCAAAGAGAATCACCCTAACACTGTTTTCCTTCTTTGTGCTTCATAGATTTCTCTGGGGTCGCAGATTGATTTACAGAAAAAGAAGAGGCGAGCACCAGCTCCCCCTCCACCACAGCCACCACCACCAAGCCCCCTGGTACCTAATCGCATGGAGGACCGGGAAGAAAACAGGAAGAGCACCATGGGTGAGTGAGCTCTCCACAAGCTATCTGCATGGGTCTGAGCACTTACTCTCTGGCATGGTACTTAGCACTGTATTAGCTGTTGCAGTGGCTTCACTCCATAATGGCATTAACCTAAAAAATATTTATGCCGAAGAAAGAAAGTCTGGAAATAAACAGTTGAGAGTTCACTTGATATCTTACAGCAATATTTTATGGGCATTGCGCGTGCATTTAGGAAGTGGCAACACAGGAATTGGAGAATGGAGAATCGTGAAGGAAAGTAGGGAGGGGTTGAAAATAGAGAAGGAATGAGTGTGAATGTGTGACTTGTGTGTCTCTGATATAAAAGGAACACGTTCTCAAGATGACATCTGAGGAAAGACATCTGGCAGAGAATGTTATTTCAGGCCCCTGGAGATTTATAGGTCAGGTAACAAAAGTTCAGTAATTTTTTGACCATTGTGTTTGAAATTGATCTCCCTTTATATAACTTTTGTATATTTAGCAAAGACCCTGATAGTCCATGAAAAAAAAAAAAAAAAGAAAAGAAAGAAAAGGGGGTAAAATCATAATATCTTTGAACAGAAAGAGACTTATTAGATCATTATTTTCTGCCCCTCATCTTACAGGCAAAGTGGAGAGAGGCTAATGATAGAGGTCTCTGAATCCACAAGCCAAAGATGACTAATTTTACTTTAAAGAAATTAAGTGTTCATTATGTTACTTATGTAGGGAGAAAATGGGCTATTGAAAAGGAGTTACAGAAATGGCAGCTTAGGATTCAAGCACTCATAACCCGAGACAATACCTCTGTGTACCCAAAGTGCATCAGAACTCATTAGTCAAGTCATTAAGACAGTTGTTCACAATGCAATCTAATAGATTCAATCACCTGTATTCTCCCTTCGACCTGATGTCTATTGCCCCAGAAGAGAATGTACTTCCAAGGATAAGTGGTTGCATTGTCAGGATCTAAAACTTTAATAAGAGCCTGTTTGTCAGCAATTTTTCCCCCTAGTCAATAATGTAGTTTTAATGTCTTAACATTTCACAGCCTGGGCTTTGATTTTCCTAAGGAGCAATAACCTATATCTCATATCTGTTCATCATTTTTCCCAAAGGAAAATATTATCAGATTTAAGGAAAGCATTATCTTTAGATCATTTAAATAGACTTACTTTTCTCCTGTTTTATGTTGAGACCCTCATTCTTCCTTCACAACCCTTCCTCTACTTTTTTTTCTAAAGAGACTAAAACCTTCAGATTTCTTGTGGCAATTCTAAGAAATACTCACTTGAACAGGCAATATGGATGTGGTAGAGTCATGCCAACCTCCAGGTCAGAACAGACCATTTCAGCTTGGGGAAGGGCCTCCTGATTCAGCTTGTAAAAGACTCAGCCCTAGCTGCCACACACAGGTGTAAGAAGAGAAGGGATGTGTATTTTCTCTCTTTAATTGAAAATTGTAGAAATAATTCCCATTATGATACATGTTAAAAGGAGGAGAGATAGATAGTAGTAATTAATCATAATTCCTTCTCTCTAACCCTAAAATATTCTTTGATAGGACTGAGGATGCCAGAAGCTCCTTTCCTATTTAAAATAATTCTGAATATTTTTTGAGAAGGATTATAGGAAGGTGTTGGTGGCCATACCAAGTCAGACTTCTATCCGTATCTGAAATCCCCCAAAAGTCAAAACTCGTTAATGGCACCACAAGCAGAACTTACTTTTAATCACAGTCTAGGCTTTAGGAGCTCTGGTGTCATTGTTCCTAAGGCATTTGAGCAGAAGCTTGATGGTTCAAACTCACCAGCCACTCCTTCCTCAGAAACCCAATGGGGGTCACTATGAGTTAGAATTGACTCAATGGCAGTGGTTTGGTCTTTTTTTTTTTTTTTTAGGCTTTAGGTTAAGAAAGGAAAAAAAAAAAAAAAAAGAGTAGCCCCTAGCCATAAAGAATGTTGGTCATCTTCAACACCTAGATAGAAAGATTTATTTTAGAACTTGTAATAAAATAGTATTATAGCCAGCTGGATTTGGATTTGACCCAAGTTTTCTTGGTAAACAGCAATAAGACTTTAAGTCATGAGACTGTTCTTCATATGACCTTGTGGAATCAGTCTTACTCTAGGGGAATGCTCCTGATGTTATGATACTTACTTATACCCAACAAACAGTAGCCTTCCAGGCTGAGCTTCACTTTTGTGCGCTTTGTAGAGATAGCTTTGAAGGAAAAACTGATGTGTAGATTTGAGAAAGTTAGTATGTTCCTTTGTCTAGAGAACTGTCAAAAAGTGAAGGAATAAATGGTTGTTTCTCAATGAAGAATTGGTGTTTCTTAGTATTATGATTAATTATCTGATGAAGGACTTGAAGCACAGAATCTATCACTTATTAGAAGATTCTAAACATTAAGGCTTGAAGAAAATGTTCTTTAAAAAGAAACAATGGTAAACAGAATTTATGACACTAGTAATTCCTATAATTTATTACTTTAAGTCATTGATTTTTCAAAAATATTATCAATTATAACAGTATTTTCATGTCAGATTATAAATGGATGACCAGTGTATTGACAGATGCAAGATGGGCAGCTCAGACTGCCACTGAGGTAGAGTGGGGTTGGGTACCCTGCCCCCTAACTCTGTCTCCTACCTGAAGAACGTTTTCAAAACAAACTTTGAAAACCCTTACCCTAAACAATGAAAGACACTGAAAGTCTAAGTGAGTTTAAAAAGAGATAAACTAAGTTAATGGTTATTTGATACATAACAGGTCAGTGTACATAGCAAAACAATAAGAGTAAGGTAAAAAATAAATCTGTAACCTCAAAAACACTAAAGTGAATGAAGGAAGTCTGCTTTCACTTGACAAAGCTATTCAGGGGGCTTTTAAAAGTAGTTTTAAAGCCCAGTATGTAAGTAGTTGTGCCTGCCAAAAACAAAATTCCACAGGGACAGATATCATCCCATTGTCCCAATACGATGCTCAGATGTGAAATGATGACACATAAGTGTGCTTGTTTCTGGTGTCTGTGAGTGAGGGCCACACTGCTGTTGAAGGTCAAGTGTCTTTCAACCTAACCCTCTGAAGTAACCACCATTGATTCCGCATAGGTGTTGGACGGCAGGTGCCACAAAAGCCTCCCCGAGGCACGGGGCGGGGCCCACCCCAGTTAGTGCTCCCCCCGCCCCCACCCTACCCTCCTCCTGACTCGGATGTAGCAGAGCCTCTTGGTTTTCCCGGGGAAGGTGCTGGTCCTGAGACCTCAGACCCAAGACCCAAACGTACGTGCCTCTCATTTTCATACCAACTACGTGTAGATCATCTGCCTCTGTAGTCACTGATGGTGTTGGGGCTTGGTTTCCAGACTTTCCATTCTTGCCTTTGGATATGTGTGCCTTTCCTTTCCAACTTTTCTTTCTGAATGCTCAATGCAGTATACCCAATTTAACAGGGAATGCACTTTGAATGCCATGCAGATCCTGTAATGAATGATTTAACCTATTAATCATTCATACCTGCAGTTAGACTCCAGCTAAAGTTATACCTGTGCGTGGAGACAAACAGTGATGGGCTGATGTTTCTTAAATTGGAACTAACCTCAGAACGTCTATAGATAGCAACTGCCATCCAGTTCAGCAGTTATTTCGTTTGTCTGCTCATGAGGCAAGCTTTGAATGCGTAGCAGAGTTTAATAACTTGAAATGGTTATGAATTAAAACCGTTAAACTATGTGGCCAGTGGCAAACATTAGGGAAACTGAGGTACAAGAAGGGGAAACAACTTGGTCTGAGTAGAATGTAGCAATAGTATAATTAAAGTCTTTTTTTAAATTTTTTTTCTTCTATTACTTGTCATAGCCTGTCTAAGATCAGGCATTTCTTATTGTTTCCTGGGATATATCTTGGACTTTAACAAGCACTATATATAGCATTCCACCTCCAGTGGAGCAGTGGTTTTAAACACTTATTCAGATGGCACCGTCCTGCACTCCAAGCCTGTTTGTGCCCCTCCTTCAGCATGTCTCAGATATATGTGGATGCTTTGTTATACAACAGGAAGAATCCTGGACTGCATATGAGTGACAACCTGTTTCCCCTGAATTCAGCTCAGCACCAGTCTGTGTTCATATGAGTAATGTATGGCCCTCTGGAATCCCTGGTAGTTGCTAACAGTTAACATGATTGGCTGTCAACCAAAAGGGTGGCAGTTGAAGTCCACCCAGAGGTGTCTCAAAAGAAAGGCCTCCCTTCCACTTCTGAAAAATTGAAAACCATCTGGAACACAAAGCTACTCTGATACATGTGAGGTCACCATGAGTCAGAGTCACTTAACAACCACTGTTCTTTGGAGTTTTTGTTTGTTTCTTGTGGAGTTCATACTCGTCTGGCATTTGATTTCTTATCTCCTTCTGTCTTCCTTGGAAATGATGACAAGTTGAATGCCAGCTTTTGGGTGAAGAATTGTTTTGTTACTTATCAATTCCTCTAGGCAAAATAATCCCAATTCATTTTATCTTTCTTCATAAATACTTCTTTTCAACCCTTAAAATGTTTGATTTTCTTAAAGTTCTGTATACTTCAAAATGCAGATGAACTTTAAAAAAAAAAAAAAAAAAACTCACTGCTGCCAAGTGGGATCTGACTCATAGTGACCCCTCCTTGGGTTTCTGAGGCAGTATCACTATGGAAGTAGATTGCCCAATCTTCCTTCCAGGAGTGGCTGGTGGGTTTGAACCACCAGCCTTCTGGTTATCAGTCACATGCCTTAGGCACTGCACCACCAGAGCTCCTAGATGAACTTTATAGAGTATTTAAAAAATTAAGGATTAGATGTATCAGCCAGATAGATGACAAGTGCAGTGTGGATGACCCCGGGGCCATTTCATCGGCCACAAGAGTAGATTGTAAAGCCCCATGCACTGTGGCGACATGGATGCTGCCTGCTCTCAACCACGTCTCTTTTCTGGAGAGCAGTGAGGGAGAAATAGATGAGTGACAATAGTAAAGCTGGGTATCATCTTTTTGTCCACCAGGTCAGTGTAGTGGGCCTGCTAGAATAGGACACAGAGTCAGGCATAAGTCCCCACACCTTTTTCCACATCTGACTTTAGTTTCTTCTTTGGCCTCTGTGTTTCCAAAGCAGTGTTTTGGAGATGCTGCTAGTAGACTGTGTCAGCTGTGGCTATGGGAGGTAAGATTTGAAAGGGCTGCATACAAAGGCCCAACTTCAGATTTGAGAAGTAAAGTTCCCTCCTGGGTCTGTATAACTAGTCAGTCAACCAGTTGCCATGGAATTGATTCCAACTCATAGTGACCCCACGTGTGGCAGAGTAGAACTATGCTCCATAGGGTTTCCAATGGCTGTATTTTTTAGAAATAGAATATCATGCCTTTCTTCCAAGGTGCCTGTAGGGGAAATTGAACTTTCAGCCTTTCAGTTAGCAGCTGAGCACATTAGCCATTTGTACCACCTTGGGACTCTGGTGGGTCTTTATAGTGCTGTGAAAACATTTCCCACCCCTGTCCTTCATAGAATTTCAAAAATAGGTCAGAAGGGTGAAGAGAACAAAGCAACAAACTGAAAATTAAGCTTGCTTTCTTCTTGCATCATGGCTCCATTTTCCCAGTTGTGCCCCATGTTAACTCTCTGAGTGTGTTCAAGTGTAACTACCTTTGCTCACTCCTTTCTCTCCTCTCCTCCCACATTTTCACAGAGATGCCATAACTGAGTGAAGAATGAAAGGTGTGAGGATAGACTTATTTCGTTTCAATATCACCCTCAGAACTAGCCCAGGGCCTGGCAGGTGGCATGGGTCAGGAAATGCAGCTCCCTCCTCTACTGCCTGCTACCATTTCCTGTAGCACCAGACATGAATGTGCCCAATTCAGAGTTTTTATTTGACTTAATTACTAGAAGGAGTTCTAGTGGTACAGTGCCTAAAGCATTTGACTGCTTACCAGAAGGCTGGTGGTTCAAACCCACCAGCCCCTCCTTGGAAGGATGGTTGGGCAATCTACTTCCATAGTGATACCACCTCTGAAACCCAAGGAGGGGTCACTATGAGTCAGATCCAACTCGACGGCAGTGCGTAATTACTAGAAAGGTCTGCCCACAGTTTATAATATTGAAAACTGACATTGCCTCCCCAGCTAGGCAGAGAGCAACTTGCCTTCTTTGATTAAAAAAAAAAAAAAAAAAAAAAAATTTAGAAAGATAACAAATCCTTTCTTTCTGATTATATTATTTTTCACATATTGTTGACATCCAGGAATGAATTACCCCTGGTTTAAGGAAGCTATAGATTGTTGGTACATTAAATGCCAGGTGCTAATTTGTGCCCCTGTGTCCTGTATTTTTCACCTACACTCCCTTTCAGACTTCTGGGTATATTTAGCTGTGTGGAAGCTCAGTGGAGATGTTTGTCTACCAGCTATGAGTTCTTGCATACCTCTTTCTGAGTTGAATTTTAGACCTATGATCCTTGTATTCCTGGTGGAAAGGCACACTGAGTACCTGCAATGGGCCAGGTAGTCCACCAGGCACCTTATGCAAGATACCTCACTCGGCACACACTACAATTCTATATGGTAGGTGCTACTGTCATGGTGAAACTAAGCCTGGAGAAGTTATGTACCTGAGGTCTTACTATGAATAAATGTAGAACTGGAATTCTCAACATGATGAGAATTCATTGTTCCCTCTATCACCCTCCACCTTTATCCCACTATACCTAAAATTTCTACTTGACACCTTTACATTTCACACATCCATTATAATTTCTGTAACAGATGGTATATCCCCACCAAGGTGATTAAAAGCAGAAAAAGCAATTTTCTTGAAAACCAGTGAGCACTGCTCTTTTCATAAGATAAAAAGACTTTAAAAAGATAATATGTAATGGATTTGGAAGCAGCTAAAAAACGGTGAAAAGAAAATATGAAATAGTTATTGTACAGCTCCTTCCTTTAATTTGATCTCTCCCACCCTGGTCCTTCTATTCCACGCATTCCCTTATCCCCTCCATTGACCCCTCTGGGACCTTGACCTAGTCCTAGACATGGTAGTTTTGCTTGTCTCCTCCTTTACCATTGCCAAGACTCCCTCCCACAGCTACCTTCTACCAGCCTCCCTGAGGAGTAGGACTGCTAAAAGAACTAACAAATCTGTCCTAGAGGAGGTGCAGCCAGAAAGCTCCCTGGAAGCGAGAATGGCGAGACTTCATCTCACCTACTTTAGTCATGTTATCAGAAGGGACCATTCCCTGGAGAAGGATGTCATGATTGGTAAGGTCGATGAGGGAGGGGAAGGCCCACAACGAGATGGATTGGCACAGTGGCTGCAGCAATAGGCTCAAATACAGTGGGGATCGCGGAGCTTGCGTGGGACTGGGCAGTGTTTTGTTCTGCTGTGCATAGAGTCGCTATGAGTCAAAGATGACCCACAGCACCTAACAACAGCAACAACAACCTGAGAAGTAGCCCTTAGCCCAAGGAACAAATCCCTTAATCCTCATTTTAATGCTTTCAGTGTTACTGATACTTAATACATGGCCATTAACACCACATTTACCTGGAACAAAGGCAAAATGGAGAGCAAGGTTACATATATCTGGAACTCCTGAACTCTTTCTGAATAAATGTACTGTTTCCTAGTAGAATTTCCAGAAGAGATAGAGGTAACTATCTATCAGTGAGTGTATTTGACTGAGAGTCCAGCTATGCCCACACCACCTCCCAGCTCACCATAGCCTGGATATCAGATTAACACAAGCACTCTGCATGGTCTGGCTACAGCCAAGCAAGTAGAGTTCTCTGTGCATTTTTATCATGCCCATCACTCTGTCTAGTCTTAATTTCAGCCATTAAGCTCTAGCCACTTAACCTTTCCTTTATTTACCGTACTGTATTATCCACATCTCTTACTTGCCTCCTCCACTATTTAAGGTATTTGGAAACTCTAACAAACATATTCATATCTGTAACCATTCATAACTTCAACTCAATAGTATATATTCAGTAAAGGAATAAACCAGAATGTGTTTACTATGTGAATTTTAAGTATGAGATTATAATCGTCTGTGTTATGTCATTCTGCTCCATTAAATTCAAGTATTTTCTAGGCCAAAGGTGTATGGTTTTGGTCTTGTTGTTGTTGTTGTTAAGTGCCGTCGAGTCGTTTCTGACTCATAGCGACCCCATGCACAGCAGAACGAAACACTGCCCGATCCCGCACCAGCCCCACAATCCCTGCTATACTCGAGCCCATCATCGCAGCCACTGTA